ACCGAGCCCATATTTTCTAGCTACTTCCCTGTTCCCAACCTTTGCGTTCCAGTCGCACATTATTATCAATGCATCTTGATTGCATGTTTGATCAATTTCTGCACTTCAAATCTACCTACCAGATGCTCTGCTGGAGAAGGAGGGGCAATCTCCTCTTGGGCCAGTCGGATCCGATTTGATGGCACACAACCAGAAAAAAAAACACCAAAAACCCCAAAACAAACAAACAAAGAACTAATTATATGCAATCAAACTGACAATAGTAACTGGAAATAATAGCTAGGAAGCGTAGGAAGTAGTGTATTTATGTTAACCGAATAGGAACTACTCAGAAAAGGAGAATGAACACAGTTGTCAACCCCAAGAAAGTAATTCACATCACTGAATTATGTATGTAAAACTGCTGAAGTGGTGTATGTTCTACTGTGTATACTTTCAACAATGACAAAAACAAAATAAACTATTAAAAAAGAAAGAAAGGAGCCACAAACTGAGTTTCCAGAGAAGGGTGTTCCCAGCAAAGAGGCCTGCAGGCCCAAAGAGAAGGATTGGAGGGCCAGAGCAGAGTCTGTGCAAACAGGTCCAGGGAAAGACGTTTGTAGCCAGATATAAACAACTGGAGAATGAGCATAAATCAGCAGCTTTGAAATTTGAGCTTCTATCTAACTTATTTCTGTTGAGTCTGAACAGACTCATAGCTGATCCTCCAGCGAGTTTTCAGAGGTGGTAAATCACACAAGAGGAGACTGCCCAGCTTTCTCCTACAGAGCACCTGGTGGATTCGAACCACCAGAGGCAGTGTCTTTGGGTTAGCACCACAACTCCGTACTCACTAGGCCTTCAGAGTTCAAAATAAGCAAAAACATAAATATGAAAAATAATTTTCCTTTTCCATGATTAGTATTCAAATTAGCATTGTTGTTGTTGTTGTTAAGTGCCGTTGAGTCGCAGGTGACTCATAGGGACCCTATGAAGGAGAGTCCTCGACGCTTGGGTGCCTTTCCTCCTCTCTCCAGGTTCACAGGGTTTCCGGAGGCAAGCTATTATGGAAGTGGATGCCACTCCTCCTTCCCAAATTAGCATTAGAGGCTGATATTATTGAAGCTGGGTCAGAATTAAAGAGCTTAGTAGAAAAAAACAGATTTACATTTGCTGCTGCTGTTGTGTTCCATCAAGTCAGAACTGACTTATAGTTGACCCTCCAGCGGGTTTTCAGAGGCTATAAATTGCAGGAGAGACTAGCTGTTCTCACGCAACAGCCTGAAGATTTGATCTGCGTGACTTTGGGGCTCCAGTGTAGTTTCTAACCACTAGACCACCAGAGCTCCCTAAATTTTCTGTAGTCCACCTATATATTGAAACTTGATTTTGTGATGGTGTCCTAAAAACTGCGAAATAAAATTAAAATTAAACAGTAAATATAAACATAAGTAAGAAAGTGAGCATCCTATTTTACTAGGTCTGACTTACCTGGGCCATGCTGATGGCTTGTTGTGGATAATAGATAGAGGCAGCTAATCCCATGAAACCAGGTGGATATACCAACTTCTTTATTTTTGAACCTATTAAATAAAAGGCCATACATACATACCATCAGGTGACTCATTAACTTTTCTATCACAATTTGTCCTGTATATTCAATACTGAATAATTCATTGGTCTGAAATGAGAATGTTACTAATAATACCACGCTCAACAAAAATAACCATTAGTTTGATATGAATACACATACTACATTCTTCACTCATGCAAAGTGTGCAATTCCAAGGGTTTAGCATTTTTTACAGAGCCGTGCAACCACTATTATAATCAATTTCAAGGTAAAGATACTGTATCATCCCAAAAAGAAATGCCATCTCCTTAGTCATCACACTCCATCTCAAATACAATCGCTAACCCCTATCACACTCACTTCCATCCAGTTGTTTCTAACTTATAGTAACCCTGGAGGGTCTCTGAGGCTTTTATTTTTATAGGAGGAGACTTTCACCCACAGTGGATTGTCCAATATCCACAACCACAACTATAAAACATCCACAGTGGACTGGTGGATTTGAACTGCCAACCATTCTAATAGCTGTGCAACTTATAACCACTTATGTCACCAGGGTTCTTGATCCCTAGCCCTTGGCAACCAAAAAAGCTTTCTGTCTTTAGAGATTAGCCTAATCTGTAGATTTCATATAAATGGAATAATTTATTATGTGCTTTTTTGTGATTGGCTACATTCACTATTTCTAAGATGGATAAAAACACGTTATTTTGAAATTATTTTGGATTCTAAAATTTATGTTCTATTATAGCATAATGGCTACCCATTTCAATAATAAATGTAAGCATTTCTCTTTTCTCTCAAGATTAGATAAAAATAACAGGGCTAAAGTCTGTTCAATCGGTTTGAGCTTAAAGCCACCTAACTGCCACAGAAGAAAACAGTATCCTATCACGTGCAATCCTCATAATCACTCCTGTATCTGGGCTAACTGTCGTCACAACCATGATATTAATACTTCTTATTGAGTCTTCCTCTTTTTCACTACTTTACCAAGTGTGAGCTTTTTCTCTAGGGACCAATCTGTCCCTATAATGTGCCCCAAAATTAATATGACTACAGAGAGAAAATCCACCAAGAGAAAATGTGTGGAGAGGTCACTGTTAGACTTTTAAAAAAAAATCAATTTTTAGACATTATAAAGTGGATGGAGCTCTTTTTTTCTCCTTTCCTGCTGATAGTATGCTATAAGGTTTGGGTTCACCTCTGTATTTTTCAGGGGTCCTTACCCCTTATTCCTCTTTTTTTTCCACTTTAACTCTTTTGCGTGGTCTACATTTCATTACATCACTGTCCTATTGCCTTAATAAACCTTTCTCTCTTGCTTTTCTCTCTCTCTCACACACACAAAGTGGATGAAAAGAAGAAGATATGAAGCCTTGAGGAGGAAGCAGATCTGTCGTGGGCCACCTGAGGAGAGGATCCAGACAAGATATCAAATACAAGCTCTGGACACACACCAGTTCCCTCATCTCACTGCAGTACAAATAACTTCCCATGATCAGGCAGCCATGCCCAAGCCAACAAAACAAAACAACTCTGAAAACCAGAGGGGAAGGGGAATGAGGAATTCTCTGCTGAGATCCAAGAGAGCTGGGGCAGATGAGGGGGTGGGGTGGGGGTGTTTGTGGTGTGTCTCCATGTATGTACTAGTGCCTAAAAGTCAAGCCCTCCTCACGTGGCACTGGGTGTAGGCACCCACCCCCATACAAGGTCAGTTCCTGTCCAGTTTACTCTGAGGTAAGGCCTGCCTGTCACCACCCTCATGTGTACTCCACTGCCTCATTCATGATCATTTCCAGACAATGAATAAGCACTAGATATCTGAGAAAAGCCTGTAACATAAAACTAAGAGACCTAGACAAGCAAGAAGGGGGAAACTGACCTTACAGTAAATAGGAGAACATAAAAACAAAACTAAGCTTGCAACTCATTGTTGTCAAATCCACTCTGATTCACAGCAACCCTCTATTGGGTTTCTGAGGCTTAATGGAAAGAGAGTGCCCATCCTTCTCTGAGGGGGTGATGGTGAATTCAAACCATTAAACACACTGCCTTTTGATTAGGAGCACAACACACTACAGACCATGACACCAGAGCTCCTTACACTGTTACAAAACATCAAATAAATTGAAGAAGTATGCAATATGGATTGAAGCTTAACATCAAGAAAACAAAGATTCTCACCAGTGGGCCAATTGGCAGCACCATGATGGATGGAAAAGAGACTGAAGTTGTTAATAGTAACTGCTTGCTGGGCTCTACAATCAACACTCAGTCAGGAAATCAAAAGATAAATTACATTAGGTAAATCTGCTGTCAGGGATCTCTCCAGAGTACTGAGAAGCAATACTGTCAATCTAGAGACTAAGGTGTGCCTGATTCAGTCCATGGTCTTCACAATTGTTTGCTATGTATCAGAGCACTGGATAATGATTAAGGAAGACAGAAGAATTGATGCCTTTGAGTTGGAGTGCTGGAGAAAAGTCTTGAACATACCATGAACCACCAAGAAAACAAAGAGGTCTGTCTTGGAGAGGGTGAAACCAAGTTTCTACTTGGAGGCTAGGATTTTGAAGCTCCATCTCACATACTTGGGCATGACTAATCCTTGGAGAAGGACATTATGCTCGGAAGGGTAGAGGGACAGTGCAGGAGTGGAAAACCACAGATGAGATGGACTGATACATTAACTAGGGCAATGGAGTAGGTGTGTGGGAGTCAGTGAGACTGGCTCAGGACAGAGCAGGCTTTAGAGCTACTGTACATACGGTTGATATGAGTCACAGGCAACTTGACGGCACATAACAACAACAACAACTATACTAAAATTTTTAAAAAAATTCTATGAAGAAGGAACTTTCAGAGAATAAAAAGTTATTAGAAATTATAAAAATAAAAGAGAAGTAAAATAAAATAATCAAGAAAACACAAGAGATACAGAGGAGCAATTTAGAAAACACGTTATGATTCAGAAAGGTAAAAGGAATGAAAGTAAAATTTCTAAGATATTCTCCTAGTGCTAAAGGCTGAAAGCCATTACAGTGCCCAATGGATGAAAAGATGTCTATGGAGTCATCTAGAGATTCAGAGAAGGTCCTTAAAGCTTCCAAGAAGAAAATAAAACGCATCACTTAAAAGGGAACAAGTATCATACTATTGACTCTCACATCTGTAACACCAGATGATAGAAGGCATGGGCTTTAAAGTCTTGATGGAAAACAAAATTCTATACTCTTTGTAGATCACAACAAATTGTGACTAACTTTAAGAATGAGAATTCCAGAACACTTGATTGAGCTCATGTAAAACCTATACTTGGACAAGAAGGTAGTTGTCAGAACAGAGGAAGGAAACACTGCATGGTTCAAAATTAAGAAGGGCATGCATCAGGGATGTGTCCTGTCTCTGTACCATTTAATCTGTATGTGAAACAGATCATTCACGAGTCTAAACTTTATGAGGAGGAGTGTGGCATCAGGATTGGAGGAAGATTCATCAACAACCTGCAATATGCAGATGACACAACCCTGCTTGCCAAAATTCAAGAGGACCTGAAACATTTGCTGCAGATAAAGTCAAGGACTAGAGTCTTCAATATGTATTGAAGCCTAACATTAAGAAAACAAAGATTCTCACCATTGGGCCAATTGGCAGCACCATGATGGATGAAGAAGATACTGAGGTTATTAATAATTTCAGCTTGCTTGGCTCCACACAACACTCTTGGCACCAGCAATCAGGAAGTCAAAAGATACTGCACTGGGGAAGTCTGCTGCCAAGGGACCTCTCCAAAGTGCTAAAAGAGCAATGATGTTGGTCTAGATAACAAGGTGCACCTGATCCAGGCCATGGTCTTCCCAATTACTTGTTATACATCAGAGAGCTGGACAATGACTAAGGATGACAAAAGAATAATTGATGTCCTTCAGTTGTGGCACTGGAGAAGAGTATTGCACATACTATGGACTGCCAGGAGAACAAACAGGTCTGTCTGGAAGAGGGTGAAACCAAGTTTCTCCTTGGAGGCAAAGATTTGGAAGCTCAGTCTCACACACTTTGGGCACATGCCCAGAAGGGACCAGTCTTTGGAGAAGAGCATCATGCTTGGAAGGGTGAAGGGACAGCGCAGGTGAGATGGACTGACACAGTAACTGGGGCAATGAGTTTAGGGGCGTCAGAGTCAGAGAGACTGGATCAGGATAGGTCAGGGCTCAGAGCTATTGGACATGGACCCAAATCATCACTTTGTATGAAAGAAGAAATTCATTTTCAGACATACAAGGACATAGTAAGTCACCTTCAACATATCCTTTTTTGAAAGTTACTTAAGCCTGTACTGGAATAATGGCAGAGTAAACCAAGGAAAAGACACAGAACTTCAAAAAGGGCTGAGACTCAAAAGAACATGAAGACTGCAAGACACAAGTTATGCTGAAACCTACACTGTAGGAAGATGTAAAGTGCAGAGAAAAGGGAGATTAAATGAGACAGACAGGAGAATGGAGAACTTAGAGGACGCTGAAAAGCAGGTTAAGAAAATTGGCAGAGAGTGAAATCAGAAAATACACATGGATTTGACATTAGAAATAACCTCCACTAAGGGGCAATATTTTTGACATGAAAGTGCATAGATGTTAACACAACATAAACTAGTCATACAGCTCTAACAATATAAGTGTTACTTATTGGTGGTAAGCTTCTCACATCAACAGACAAATCCCCAAAGATAGAAATGTGTTTAGAAAAAAAAATAAAAGCTATCAACCTAAAAGATTAATAACTTGTTTCTCATCCTGCCCTACTTCCTTGATCAAAAGGGTTTAACTATTCTAAAGGAGCTCTGGTGGCTTAGAGGTAAGGAGTTTCATAGCCAACACAAAGGTATGTGGTTTGAATCCACCTAGATGCTCCTGAGGAGCATCTGTGTGATTTACTGCCACTGAAAACCTGAAGAATAGTTAGTTCTGAGTGAACTCAATGGTATACAACAAAAGAAAAGTCCATTAC